TTTAATGCAGTTAATTTTTTCTTGACAATTCCCCATTTTACAACAAAATAACTATAACACAGAATCTGTCACACATTCAAGGATGACCACTAAAAATAAATAGACCAGAGAAAGAACACAAGTACATCATGAACTGTGACATGATTCAAAGCAAGCACAAATATGATTAACTAAAGAATAATCCAACTTCTTTAAGTTGTTTATCTTTGGATAGGGGATGGACATTCCCCTTAGTAACTAGCCACAGCCTTTGCTTCATAAGTTACACTTACAGAAGCACGAAAGATTTTTGTTTTCTTTTTGATTTACTCATTTACGAGTTAAGGACAGGTACTGCCATTTAGTGTAGCTTATACAAAACCGACAATATATTATCTCACAACACAACAGTTTGAATTTTGCTCAGCACATGTGGCATTGCAGAACGATGCAGCATCCTGAGCAGCTCTCAATGAGCAGTATTCTATTAACCAACAATAAAATCTAAACAACTGCAGTTTAGCTCTTACACTTTCAGGCCGAACAATATCTTCTAAATTTAATTATGAATTATGTATTCCTGTCATGGAAGACGCAGACAGAGTACTTGAGCAAAACAACAGGTTTCACTTTATAAGACATGTCTGGCCTTCAGAGACCCTGGACTGAACTGAGAAGTAGCCTGCTACACTACGGATGTTGGTGTGTTTTCTATAGAATCTGTAGGGTCTGGGGAGCTTCTTGTGGTGTTTCCTGGAGATATGCCTGCATTGTCTCCATTTCCACTTGTGACTCGGACAGCATTGTTGTTCCCCAGGGATACATGACCAGGGCTTGACGGAATATTTGACAAGCCAGGTCCTCCACACTGCAACAAAAACAATTGATTTATTATGTCAATAAATATGTGGTTTGGATGAAAATTGAACACAAACTTTTGGAATGTGTGTTTGTCAAATTAAACATTTATCATACTGTACTTGATAACTGAACTTCTAGGAAGGTAATGAATTGCATTTCAGAAAAACAAAAATGTTGAGTTTGTACCTTGGATTGATTTGGGGGAGGGGTAACAAAACTATTCTTGTGCTGTCATGGAACTTAATATGCAAAAGGTTTTACCATAAGCCATCATTCTTGCAAAGGATAGTAAAATAGTGCTATTACAGGCCATCATTTCTAAAGTTAACTTACAGGAATGATACTTAGACATAGGAGAGATGATGTGGTTGCTCCTTACTAGCAACCAGCTGCAGGCTGCACAAACAAGAGACACCATGAGTAAACATGCTGGGCATGCTTAAGTTATGGTGGCATGTTATGTTCAAACTGAAGTGCAGCATTTACAGATTTGTGTAAATTATTTCTCACTGGGCAAAGCATGTTGTCACTACCTGAGTGGAACTGCAATGAGTGCCTCATGACAGACTTCATAACACATCAATCTATGTAATAATAAAACCAAGAGACTATCAATCTTCCATCTCTAAAATGTGGAACTTCCACTTCATTCTGACTACCTAATGGCGAAGTTCTTCCCACCTATACATCCCCCTTAAAATAGCAAAGATAAGTAAAAAAGTCAAATGGATGCAATTTCAAAAGTACTATAGACTAAGACATTCCCATAACAAGTATAATGGCCAACAAAAGTTGTTTTAACTCACCAATTTCCCAGGCCTGGCCCAGGTGTAGACATATCCATCTTGACAGGCGGTTACGAAACAGTCTTCTCTAAAAACAAGGGCTGTCAGTCTCTCATGGGCTATTTTCTTGCATATGAGGGGTTCCAACAAGGGGCATTCATCAAACCTTGGACAAGTGCTTGTGCCAATGAGTCTCATCGGATCATCAGCAGCACTATGAGTAGATTTTACTGTTGATGAATTATGACTCTTGTCTGAGGATGAACTGGATTTTGGACCAATACTGAAATTTCTTTTGTGACCCTCCTTGCGATCTCCAAAACCAAATGCAGCCAGTTTTTGTGATAGGGTTGATCCAGAGTGGTGAGAATTAGAAGAGGAATGATCACCACTTTTGTCCTTTGACCCAACTGAATTAGTAACTATACTATTGCACTTGGTATTGTCCACAATGGGGCCTGTCCCTGTCCCAACAGCACTGCCTGCAGGGGCTCCATTGCCATTAAGTGTTTTTGATCCACTTAAATTGCCTAATCCAGCAGTACTGGTGGTTCTTGTTCGAGGACACATAGGTTGTCGTAAAACATCTTCTGTAATGTCCCATAAACACAACTGAGTGTCTTGGCCAACAGAACCTAGACGGTAACACGTCATGTCAGAATTTGAAGAAGTCCTTTTATGCTCAAAGCTAGACTCACTGTCTGAATCACTGAAGTCCACTTTCGAATTGCTACTACTGGCACCATTAACTTTCACTCCACTACAAGAAGATGTGAATGGATCAAAAGCCACAACACTGACCCAACTTCTATGCCCCTGCCCTCGAGCTACAACTCTTCTCTCATGAAAACTCCACACTGTCACTAAATCGTCTTCCCCACCAACAACAACATATCTTCCATCAGGTGACCAACACACACACAGGAATCCACCAAAGTAGCTGCGAGCAACTCCAACAAGCTCCATGGTATCATAGTGAAACACACGAAGAAATCCATCTTGACTGACAACTGCTAGGTAACTGCCACAGGGAGAAAAGGCAAGTTCATTGATGCAGCAGCCATCACTTCCTAGTACCCAACGGTACAATGGATTGCGTGTGCTCTTGGTTTTACAGGTGTGAATAGCATAGCCATCCCCTTGTTTGAATGGCTGATAATGTGGAGCTGTAGTTCCACAAGGAAGTTCTTCGTTGTATAAATATAATTGCCCACTACTGTGGGAGGCAAGGAAGAGGTTAGTAGAACCAGGAACCCATTTAATACAGGTGACTTTTGTTTTGTCAATTAACCTCTGAAACACAGAAATAAATGTGTCAAAAGCAGCACACAACACTGGATAAAGTTGGCACATCTCAGATGCTTACCTCTTCATTGTATAATTTACTGAGCTCCTTTTTTATTGGATCTATTAGTTGAATTTGACCAGTTGAAAATCCAACAAGTAATGACACAGTGTCGGATGTCATAGTAACTGAATTAAAGTCATGACAGGTAGGATTGGTACCTTTATACATCTTTTTATCCACTGGTTTGGTAAGATCAGCAGCCTGTTAAATAGAACAATTTCTTAGTAATCAAACAATCTTGTTTTAAATACTGCACAAT